GAAAGAGTGATATAAAAAAGACTATGACTAATGTCAATTATGCTTATTGGTGTGATACAAAATATAAAGCACTGCCCTCAATTTATCCTCATTCTAGACAAAAACAAGGGCAAGGACAAAACTAATTTCATTTGAGAGAAAGAGAAGAGCCATAAGACAAAGACAGGACAACATAGAAAACCAATAATAATAATACCCGAAGAAAGAGAGCAAAGCTAAAATTTAACACCAATAGAAATGGCCAAGGGAAAGGTGGTCAGAGGACAATTAAACCCTAAATGTGACCAAGCACCTTTCGAAAGGGAAGGAACCAAGAGAAAGAGGCTGTGTGTCATTAGATTGGCCACATCAAGGTAAGCAAAGGAGCCAGCAGGTGAAAAGAGAACTTCATACTCTGGAGGTTAGATTTCCAAAGGAATAGTGATGAGAATATGGTTTGAAAGGCCCAGAAAGATAAAATAGATTGAAAATGAGATTCTTTTACGAACATAACTATGAATAATATTCTATGTTGGTACACGAGGCACTGCCACCAACATAGTTATTTCTTGTATGAGAGCATTGGATTAATATTCCTTCAACACCTGTATTGTGTATGAATATGTTGACAATGCTCAACCAGTATCCAAATAAAACATTGCCAACTCAGACACGCACTAGAAACGACCTATCAATTCAGCAAACACCCAAATAGGGCCTTATACTTAACAGAACATGGCTATTGTAAGAAAATCAATTATTTGCTTTCTTAAAAGAAAAATACATTAGGAAACAACTTAAATATGATAAATGATAAAAAAGAATATTGAAAGGGAAAAAAATGCTAAAGATATTTCTTCAAGAAGGACTCTTCATTTGTGGCTTATCCTTCCTACCTATGCTGGGCATTCTTCCTAACTTACAGCTTATGCTGTAAACTAATGCCTCCTTGTAATTTATTTTTGTGGGACTGATTATCAATGCAAAGCTTAGCAATTTGTTTTAAGATTAATTCATAAATCCTAATCCTCAGTTTAGACTTTTTATTACCTTGCTCGTAATTAATTTCATTTGACTGGTGTATACCATGTGCGTTAGGGAGGGAGGGGGACATGCTCTTGTGTCCTATATTTTGAACATAGTCCATGTCTATGTTATGACAAAGGTTTGTGTTTGTGACAGTCTGCTTCATAAATATGAAACACAACTCTAATTACAAACATCTATTTATACTCGGACTAGATTCCTAATCCAAATCAAATAAGAAATCACTCAAGAAATATAATTAAATATGGAAACTACTTTGCCAGAGATTATCTAAGATATTCTAAAATACTCCAAAGATACAATCAAAATATTATGAGATTTTTTTTAGATATTGTAAACAATACTATTCAAAATGAAACTACAATATCCCTTAATATTCTCACCCACAATGATAATAGATAAAAAGAAAGATTAGACAACCTTCCACTTCAGTAAACAAGACAATCACAATATCAAATATATACTGAAAAGCTGACAAAAACCATAATCTATCTTGCACATACACACGCACCCCACCACTACTAAATTGTAACGTAACAAAGCAAGGCAATCTACCAAATTTGCACATATTGCATAACACTAACTTAAAAATGAGAACAGGCATTATAATGAAATTCTTGGGACTGGCCTTACAACCACTTGCAGCCAACGTAACAAGCAAAGTGACCACAATCACGATCAACCAATGCCATTCAACCTAAGTCACATTCAATAGGCTTTAAATAAAGGAAAACAAAAGAATCCACTCATAGCAAATACCAAGATTCATCACAAGAATTATAAAAGAAGATAAAATTTGGATCAATAATAGTAATCCTGTGAAATTGAGAGGGAATGAAAGTGTTTCCTGATTCTGAGGTTCAGGTGTGACCCTGTCCAATCTCAGAGCTTCTCCCACCATTATAAGTCTCTTTTCTTTGATCTTGCACGTCATTGTCTTCTAAAATAAACAGAATGGCAGTTTGTGACAAATTACTGATGCAACTATGATTGAATCTGAATGTCAGCAGAAACAAATTTGCGACGGATAGGGAAGGGGGGAACTAGTAGAGCAAAACGAGGTAAAAAAAAAAAAAAGAAAGGAAAAATGCCTCTGGTTTCTACTTCTCACATCCTCCAGAGAATTCGATCCTCTGTTTCTGTAACAGACTCACAGGGTCACTGCACTCCTTGTCACATCAGAACAAAGCTTTGGATGGAACAGAGTTTAGGAATAGATAATTGACGTCGGAAACCCCCCCCTGTAACCTAGGAGAACCAGAGATTTCATTCTCTATTGTATTAATAAAATTGCCCAATGAGTACCCGACCCTGATTCTTACATACAAATAGCTAAGGGGTCCAGCTGGCATGACACCTCTATGACAAAAAGAATTCCACCGGTAATAGTAAGATTAATTTTTACAACAAACTTAGAGTTCTAGTACCATTGGCCAAACAAATTCAAATGCAACTTTGCAGCAACAGAAGTTGGAAGCTGGAAGATAAGTACAATAAAAGCAATCATGACAAAAAATATTTGCAAGGTACGACCATCAATATTTAGACGTAATATATGTTCATACTTGATAGCACTACACAAGGGTCTAGGATATTATGACACAAATTAAAAAAACTGTCATGAGTCCAGAAGAGAAAATATAGCACAATGATTTATGAATAATGACTATACCCATAGAAAGCAAGACGAAAATTTCTACTGGTTGTTGAGATTAAACCTGAGCATGGTACCAAGTTGTGGGCAAAAGCTTAATTTTTGTATTTTGGGAGAAATTACAATTCAAATTCATCTTCAAGCTTCAATGCCTCGGCGGCAGCCTCTTCCTCTTCGTCGTCGATGACAAAATAAGGATTATGAGCCTCTGGCTTGAACTTGTATCCAGTAAAGAGATAGAAAGCAAGCGTGGCTAACTCGGCAGCAACAACACTGGTCCAAGAATAGCGATAGGAGGTTATGGTCTCCAAGGCATAAACGACAACCCTGGTGAAGTAAATGTAACAGATAACGACGACATAGTAATGCCTGAAGAGAGTCAACTTCATCAAGTTAACGGCGGCCTTGCCGTCGGTCCTGGCGGCCTCGCGGAGGTTCTTGATGGACCAGACAATGGGGAAGAGCACAGCGCAGCAACAGACGACATCAACAAGGAGGAAGACCTGTTTCCAGGTAACCCAGTCATGGCCGTAGGGACCACTCTCGTCAATGACAACCTGGGCAATGTTGGCGATGACCTGAAGGGGGATGACAATCATGAGAACCTTCTTTTCCTTATCCTGAAGGAAGGGCTTCAGGAAGGACCAGCCAGTGCCAATCAAGACAATGAGAGTAAAGAGAGAGATGCCCTTTAGGAAGCTGAATATGTAAAACAGGATATCCCAACCGTGGGCGCTTCCGGTGCGCTTGATGTACGACTTGTCCTCGGCCTCGCACAGGAGATTCAAAGCCTTCAAGATGATGACGGCGAGCATGAAGTAATGGATGCGGAAAGCGGTCAAGCGCTTCTTGTAGAGGACGCTGATCCAGAGTGCGGCGAGGGCGAAATAGAGCAGCGAGAAGAGGAAGTAAACCCTCGGAAGGATGGTTCTGCCGGCGGAGAGGTAATCGCGGACGCCGCTCTTGCCGTCCAGGTTGTACATGGCAGATTTAACGTCCATGCTCACTTTAAGCTGCTGCGGGTGGCAGTTCGCGAAGACCAGGTTGTACTGGTCGGCGTCGGTTTCATTGTAGAGCGTGTTCAGAGAGTCCTTGCCGTTGAGGGAATTGAAGGTGTAAACGGACTTGACGAGATCGGATTGAAGGGCGCACCGAATCTCGCCATCCTCCAGTTGCTGGAGAACGTGGAGCCAGGAGTCGAGGGTGCACAGGAAGAAGCCAACCTTGGAGAGGTCCAGATTGGAATTGGAGAGTGAGATTTTGGATACGCTCAGCTCCAGCCGACCCTTGTGGGTGAATCCAAACTGATCGAAGGGCACGATGGGGCGATCGTCGTTTCGGATCTCGGAGAAGCGGATCTCCGAGAACGAGATGGGGAAGAGGGCCAGTAAGAATAGGAGGAAGAAGAAAGGTAAAGACCCCATCTTCATCACGGTCGAGATAGATCAGATCTTGCTTGCTATTTGCAAATAAGCCGTAGCGTAAACTAGTCGGCAATGTAATGTAATGTAATGAAAGAAAATTAACAACACACCAAACTAATCAGTCAACATCAAATTCTCAGGACACCAGTAAAGTTATCGTTAGCTTTTACTAATAATAATCCCCCACCTTCATTTCATATCAAATTTCTTATTTTTTAATTTTTAATAAATAAAAAATAATTAATTTTTTAAAAAAATATCTAAGCGGTTAAATTTGACAAATTTATGCCTAAGTTTTACCTTTGGAAGCAAAGTTCCAACTCAAACGAAAATCGCTCTGGGATCTATGCACAAATTCTATGAACAATAACACAAAACTCAATACAATTGCTTAGAATTCAATTAGTATATATAAAAATAATTTTATAAATAATTACTTGGTGTGATAAAATCAAGACACAATGACTTTTATTTTTAATAATAATATCATTTTGATAATGTTGTCGAATTACTATAAGTTGATTAAATATAAATTTATCATGTAGTGTTAGAATGAAGATTTTGAAACGACGGAACAAGAATCAATATTAAGAAATGAAAAATAATAAATTCAATCAAAAATTTTAATAAAAAAATTGTTTATATTCAAGATTCAATACTTATAAGGAAATCTTCGTAGTTCAAAATATAATCTGAATTCAATCAACCTTAAATTAACATGAATGTAATTAAAAGGTAGATTTAAATCTAGATCTATTGAATTTCATAACAATATGAAACACAATCGCGATCTCATAATTTTTGTAAAATTCAACAACAGTAAATAATTGATTTAGGTTATTTTAGATCTAGATCTAAATTTAGATCTATATCCAAAATTAAACTTCAATCTCAATTTTAAATCTAATTAAAAAAAAATTAATAATCATGAAAACGAAGAAGAAGATGAAGAGAATTCATATGGTAAAATTAGACCAGGAACTCAAATTTTACCACAATTCATGTAATCTTAAATTGATTGAATAAACTAGCCATATATCTTCATCAAGACATTGTAATTCATTTCATGTGCAGTAGTTGAGAGAAATTTTTTTGAGAGAGAGATAGAATTTAGAGAAACTTGTAGAGAAAATAACTCTAAAATTTGATAAATGAGAGAAAGTGTACATAACAAACCTCACAAAACTTATTAATAGACCAATATAGTGGGCTTAATTAGAATATTTACAAGGCTCAACCCACTAATCAACTAATTAACAAGGTTATATTACTAATATATTAAGTTCCTAAAGTAAACTCAAAATAAAGTGTATAGGTAACATTAAGACTCATTTTTGGACCTTGAGACATTTGAAATGGTTGAAACTCCCAATAGAGAAGTTGTAGAGATCTATCTTAATTTTCCAGGGAAACCAAGAATGCCTGATTTCGAGTTTGGGAGCTTTAGACATGACCTATACAAGTCAACATGTCAAAGTAGACAAAAATTACGAAAATTAACTTGAATTTAGAATTCAAACCAAAATAGTCTACTAAATCAAATGTCAACCAATTCATTAATTTAAGACACTTGAAAATGTTAAATAAGCCCAATCTAATGTTCTAAAATATATATGAATTATGCAGTATCAATAAGCATTGCCCTAATATGGGAAATAAAAGGATAAAAGCCAATATATTTTGTAAGTTACGCTTTACAAGGAGTAGAGATAAGGTTTCTCATAGAAAAAGTGGCATTTTCATTGAAGCTACAACATGGAACTTAAAGCAAAATATTTTATCCCATTAGGTCGTAGTACCCACTAACCAACCCACTCGAAAAATTCTTGATCAACCTTATTTGGCTGAATTTATGGTAACATGGCCAATTGTGTTGTTTAAGTACAACATTGTTTATGAATTAAGGCAACCTCTAAAATCTCATGGTTTATAGATTTCATGATTGAGTTAACATCAAATGTTTTAGTTGGTAACACTAGTGGAAAAAAACTATTAAAATCGGTCATTTTTTACTTTTAAAATCGGTTTTCTAACCGATTTTAAAATAGGCAATTTTAAAAAGTTGAACTTTTAACATCGATCATGCAATGATCGATGTTAAAAGTCTAACTTTTAAGATCGGTTATGGCATAATCGATGTTAAAAGTTGTTAATTTTTTTTAAATAATTAACTTGTTTTAGGAGGATCTCTCAACAAAACCTACAAATTAATAAAATACCAGACAATTCATATGTTTTCAATGGACCAAATTACATACAAATGACAAGAGTTGGTAAATGTCAACCATATATGTAATCAAAATGTTTTTAAAATACATGTAATGCATAAATGTGTACATAATAAGTTAAGTAACTTACAAATTGTTATGCATCCTAAACTACAAAATGAAAAATGTAGTCCATTGCTCCCTAATGGTGTTTATAAAATACAACTATGCCTACCAAGTCCCACATGCTCAGAGGCTCATTCACCGAGTGGATTACATGCAACGAAAGTGATAATCCAATTAGAAGCACCTGCAAATTTAGCACATTTTCATGTTCATGCTTCATGCGTGCGTGTAAAAACCAGGAAATGGTAACTAATAAAGTAACCTGGTGAGGGACGTAGATCGCGACAAAGGAAGCCCACCACCAATGCCTTCCATACCGTTGACTCTAATCAGTGAAAAGCCAATCCTCCCTGGCACCCCACTGCCACTTTTCTCGCCTGAAGAATAAGATAAAGGGTAGATGGATCTATAGACGCACATCTGCAAGCAGTACGGGCCGTTCCAGATTCAAAATTTACCCAGAATAAAGCAACAACAAAACTAGAGAGATGAGAAGAGAATGAGAATGTTACCTTGATATAGTAGACTTGCAAAGAAAATGAGAAGCTGGAGACTTTAGATGAGAGCGCGAGAGAGACTAAAGAAATGAGTGGACCGAAAGTATACAAAAACGATTTTTAAAAAGGAGGGAAGGAATGGAACGAGAGAGACTAATATATTCTCGTTGACTTTTTTAAAATTGGTTATTTAAGAATCGATTTTGAATGTAGGATACAAAATCGGTTCTTAAATAGCCGATTTTAAAAATAGCAATTTTTAAAATCGGCTATTTAAGAACCGATTTTGTATACTACATACAAAATCGGTTCTTAAGTGACCGATTTTAAAAGTAGCGTAGAGACCTTTTAAAATCGGTTAAAAGTTAGCCGATTTAAAAATTAGTGTCATTATTTATAAAATTGCCACCACGCCACTTTTAAAATCGGCTACTTTTTAACCGATTTTAAAACTCCAATTTTAAAAGTGATTTTTGTACTAGTGTAACCTTACCTAGAAATTATTCATTGATGTTTTTTTACATTGTCAAGGAGGCACTTCATAATTGTGTTTCATTTTCTTTCTCGACGTCAAATAGCTAGGCAAAGTATGAAGCTTCCATAAAAGTGTTTGAATTGGCCATTGAATTACTAGCTTGAATAGTCGTGATGAGCAATAGCCTAGCCTTGTTTCTAATAATGACTCTTAATTCATCAAACTTATTTCTAAAAAGCCACTTAGCACCTATTATAGGATGATCATTAGGCATAGAGACTAAATCCCACACATCATTCCTCTAGAATTAATTTAGTTGCTCTTGCATAACAACCATCCAATGTTCATCTATAATAGCTTCTTTTATAGATTTTGGTTCTACTTGTGATACAAAATTCATTATATTGCAAATATTCCTAATGGAATGACTAGTTGTTACACCTTTTCCAATATCTCCAGTAATATTGTTTAATGATAAATCCCGGATAGTTTTCCACTCCTTAGGCAAATCTTCACCAGCCTTCTCTATGATTTTACTAGGTTCACTCTCATGTTTCTTATCTATAGGTTCACAATCAATATAAGTGTTATCTAACAACTGTAGACACCCAATTTTGTCTGAGGGGCATACAAACAAAGAAATGGATGTCTATTATCAAGGAAAGGAACTCCCAAAGCAGGAAAATAACAAGACAGGACATCAGAGGGCCGAAGGCCCAAAACAACTAGTTTTAGTGGCCTAGAACGGGCTGTTCCAAAATCAGAACGGGTCGTTCCCAAATCTGGAACGAGTCATTCCTAAATTAGAACGGGCCGTTTCGAGCCACCTAAAAGGCTTAAAGACTCTTGGTTGGAACGGGCCGTTCCAGACCAGAACGGGCCGTTCCAAACCAATCAAAAGGCCTAAAAAAACTTGGTCTGGAACGGGTCGTTCCTAAACCAAAACGGGCCGTTTCAAACTATTAAAAAGGCCTAAAAATCTAGTTTGGAACAGGCCGTTCTAAGCAAGGAAATATAGTGTTAATCTCAACTCCGTAACGGGCCGTTCTCAGTTCAGAACGGGTCGTTCCCAGGTGCGTGATTAACACACAACGTTCGGATCCAGAATGGGCCATTCCAAATTTGGAACGGGCCGTTCTGGCCACTTTATGATGCCTATAAATAGATAGCTTGGGCACAATCCTCAGGGCCTCAAAAATTTTGTCCTGGACTCCTTAGAGCTTGAAATTTCTCTCTCTCTCTCTCCTATTGTATTTCTTGAGTATTGTGAGACAATTGTAGTGTGAAAGGTTGCCACAAAGCACCTAGATTTTCCATATTTGAAGATCTAACAAAGCTTGCCACGAGGTATTTCATTAATCTTCTTCTCTTTCTTTTATTTCTTATTTTTTGGTTATAACAAAAGCAATCATGTAGACGTTTTAGGGTCAACCGTGTAATTTAAATTTCAAACATGTAAATAGTAATTCATAAAGGGGATCTAATATTTAATTTATTATTTCTTATCACATTAACTTCATCATAGGGTACCGATTGAGGGTGCTGTAGGGGTGCTTAATACCTTCTCTACACATAACCGACCCCTGAACCCAATTCTGGTTATCAAGGCCATTATTGAATTTTTAAAAAACTTTTTCTTTTTCCAATGTTTTGAGTAAAACATTGGTGGCGACTCCAAGAACCTATTTTTAAAATCATTAATTAAGGATTAGTCTGGTGTCCGGGCATTCCTTAATTGATGAGATCTTTAAAAGGATGTCTAAACCATTAGTCGCGAGATCGGAAATTTTCGGGTTGCGACAGATGGCGACCC